ATACATACAACTGCAATAAACAGATAAGTAAGTAACCATCTCACCAAAGCATGCGAGAGATATACATGTTCATGTACAAAAAGATAACACCTAACCAACTTTATAAGAACTATGCGGAAGATCTGTTTAAAAATATATTTAGTTACAAAGTATGTATAGAATAACTGATAGTGTCTTTAGAAATTTGTAGACCAAAAACTGATGGAGGGCTTCTAGATTTAATATGAAAATATCTTCTGAAACAGTATTTCGCTGTGTGTTTTATTTCGTAGCGACAGAGACATGTATGCTTTTATGTATATAGACAATTTTATTATTTAGCAGGGGCGGATCCAGAACATCAATGTCTGGGAGGGGACAATGACACCAAAATTAAAGTTCTGTTTAGATATGTTTATATGCAAGCGTGGGTGGTGGTGGTAAGGGGTCAGATCTTCATTTCTGTATATTTAAAAAAAAATTTGGAGGCCATTTGACTCTTATTTTTTCAGTCAATTATTCTCTATTTCTTTAAACACACAATGTCCCCCCAATAGACTCTCGGTAAAGAAAATGTAAATACAAATAAATCTGATACCTTATTTTTTCATCACGGAAGCCTTTCGACTTTCACAAAACGATGTTTTTCTCGCCAAGCCTCGTATCGCAATTAATGAAATTACAAAAATGCAGAGTGGATAAATATCATAAATATCATAAGGCCCCAAAAATTATATTTTTATCCACTCTGGATTTTTGTAATTTCGTAACTTGCGATACGAGGCTTGGCGAGAAAACCAGATCGTTTTGTGTATGGGTCGGGTGAAATATTGAACTGAATTGAATTAAATTGTTAATGGCAATACAATATCGAATTGAGTTGAATCAAATTGTTAAACAATTAAGAACATTAACAGAAACACAAATCCTATTGCTAGAATGAATAACTACAGAGTTTCTGCTGGCGGTCGCCATTTTCGCAATTTGCCAAAAAATTTTAAAAATTGACTATTAAAATTCATTATTATCAAAAGAAATATTTATAACGGTTCGACTTCGTCCATCTTATTCTTTTTCTAGTTTCTTTGCTACAGGTACAACCTATTTACATTGAAGACGATCAAATAACTCACTATCAATGGTAAATTTATACTGCTAGTACATGTAATGACAACAAATAATCAATTTGAGGACATACAAACTGTATACAAAAAGTTTACAGATGAAATAGTTTATTGATTGAAAGAAAACCTATACCTTTATATTATGACGAAGTTAGAGATTATTTTTAAATTATTTAGATCCATTTTCTCAAACTGGAATGTTTGATACTAATCGTCACCTAATATAGGACTTCAATGAAACATATAGTTACTTTGAGTAATACCCCTCGGGTCTGTTGTTTCAAGGAAAGGGATGGTATAGGGTAGATTTGGATAAATTAATATTGTCCAGTGGCAAATATTTCATGCATATTCAGGATAGCTTTTTTTTTTTGAGAAGGGGGGGGGGGTATAACTTAAGGATGTGAAAGGCAGGATTGGGGAGGCGTAAGATAGGATTGGAGGGAGGTTTAGGGTAGGATTGGTGAAAAGTTCTTCCTTACTCCTTTTCGGTCATCATATTGTTGAAATATTATTCATTCCATTTTCCCGCAAAGGAATTCTTTGAGCCTTTGTACTTGATATTGCTTACATCCTCATAACTGAATAGAGTGATGACAATTAGTCTAACGTGTACAAATAACAACCGCTGACTGGCGATGTAGTTTTCAATCAACAAATTTAAAACATTTTCTCCTTTCTCTGTTAACTATACAATTTCTAGCTGAAATTTTATTTTCATATAATCCTTTTCAACTTTACTTTAACTGCCTTTTAAAGATGTGTGAATAGATGTTATTCTCAATTATAAAGCCACACTGTGAGATCCTGTGTCAAGATGCCGTATGATAAGTGTCAAATTCATTTTAGCTTTCCCACTGAAGGCGATTTAAACAATTCGAAAAATTATAATATCCAATATTGTATTATATTCCCAAATATGTAAAATTTTTGGAGTGATGGATTTTAAATAATTAGGCACTGGCGAAAGAGCCGGGTGGAGGGAGGGGGAATCCTCTTACGCCACTGATATGCAGAAGATAAAATAAATTGAACCTAAAAAACCTGACAATAATGAAATTTTAGAATTATATATACTCTCACCTTTTTGTTTCAAATGTTGAGTAAGACCTTCTTTTGGACCCTTTCATATATATATCTATGATTATTCAGTCAACAGGAAAAAAGGAGGGCCTTAAAAGTGTTTTCGAATTTTGCTGATTTTATCAACTTGGTAACCCCGTATCCCTAATGGTAATATGTGGTAAAGGTCCTTTTATGGGCAAAGTGGTTATGAAACCACATGGAGATGACACTTTTGTGACCTCTTTCAAAATTATGGCTGCTTGTGCAGTCAAACAGGGTCCCAGTAACATGACTGAACGCTAAAGAGGTAAATTTGTATACGCATTGTTCAAACACAAGATACCAGCTCTTGATATTTCAAACTTGTCCTAAAGGACCCTAGCTTCACACCACATACGTGATGGTGACAATACCTATTGGTTCAGAAAATGATCTCCATTTAATTTCTACTTGGCATGATCCATGTAACATGTCTGCTACAATTAAAAAGTGATATTTGGATAATAACTCTTTGATTTTTCAAATAAAAACGAGAACGTGTCCGAAATGACCCGAGCGTCACACCATTCGTGAAAGTGATAAAATCTTTTGATACAGAAATGATCTCTATGTAATTTCTGCTTGACAGAGTACATTTAAATAAGAAGATGTAATTTTATATATGCATTCCTTGTAAAATACAAGATACCAGCTCTTAATATTTCAAATGAAAATGACAACGTGTCCAAAATGAATAAAGCTTCACAGCATCTGTAAAGGTGACAAAACCTTTTGATAAAGACATTTTCCCTACGTGTATGTAATGTTTGCTTGAGTAGTAAGTGTATAGTCAAGAAAACTGTGTCCGAAATGACCAAAGCGTCACACCATCCATAAAGTTCATAAACATTTAAACCCGCTGCATTTGTTTGCACCTGTCCTAAGTCAGGAACCTGATGTTCAGTGGTTGTCGTTTGTTGATGTGGTTCATAAGTGTTTCTCGTTTCTCGATTTTTAAATAGATTATACCGTTGGTTTTCCTGTTTGAATGGTTTTACACTAGTCATTTTGGGGGCCCTTTATAGCTTGCTGTTCGGTGTGATTCAAGGCTCTGTGTTGAAGGCCGTACTATGACCTATAATGGTTTACTTTTACAAATTGTGACTTGGATGGAGAGTTGCTTCATTGGCACTCATACCACATCTTCTTATATCTATAAACACTTTTGATACATAATTATTCTCTATGTAATTTTTGCTTCAGTAGTAAGTGTATAGTCAAGAAAACGTGTCCGAAATGACCAAAGGCTAAGCGTCACATTATCTGTAAAGGTGACAAAACCTTTTGATACAGAAAATTTCTCTATGTAATTTTTGCTTGAGTAGTAAGTGTAGTCATTTGATCCTCTTAAACTTGAAATGACCTGTATCGCTCCATAGATCTGAATAAATCTTGTATGTACATCAAATTATAAATTAACTATTCAAGCAATTTCAACGTCTCAAAATTCCACTTTTCACGTCAGATACATTATAACGCTAGCTTGATTAATGACTTGAAATATAAAAGTTAATTTAATTTTTAAATGTCTCAAATAACTTTACTACGCGTTTAAAGATACTATTAGTTTCATCCTTCTTTGTATAACATGATGAACATAGTCGGTTTATATTTCTTGATTTTTTTTAAATATCGTCTCCTCTTATAAATAATTTGTGATATTACTACTTTTTTCATAAGAGTAAGAATGTAAGTAAATTTCCATTTCAAAATTTTGCGCTTTTTTTTGTGACGATACAAAATATATTTTTTTTCAAAGTTTATGTTTATAAGTATTTTTGTAGAATGTTCAAACTTGTTGTTTTTAGTCTCATTTCACCGTGACTTTCTGTAATTTTACCAATGTAGCAATATTCTGTTGTTCGTAGTTGACTGATTGATGCCGAGGCACCTATAATCGCACTCGATTTGTTGATTGATTGTTGTTTGCTTAACGTCCAGTGGCACATATTTGATACATATTAGTGAAGAAAACAAATTAAGCAATACAACAAATAAGCAGGTATTAAGGAGCGACCTAGATGAAGGGTGTGGATTTTTTTTTACTACCACCGAGTAGGGACAGGTCAACTACGGACACTCCTACCCCCTCCCCCACAGACAGTATCTTAGCACAGTATAAGTGAAATTGCAAATGACATCTTGCCTACGAATAATGACCCATATATATAGTATTACTTCATTCCTTTATTAGTCAATCGCGACGGAAATAATTTACTCTTATTTCCCTCAAATATCACCCGATCTCCATTCTATCATCTTCTACATTTTCGTCTTCAATATGAACCAAGTTGAAAATTTTAATCTTATAAATTTTCGATTTTTTTCACAGAGATAAGCGGTTATCTAACTCTGATTGTCGAAACGGGTAAAACAAATTTTGAACTGCCTTTCCGTTTAAATAATTGCTGTCTACTTCTCGTGGCTCAAAACTTTTTTTAGGCCAATTAGAAACGAGTGTGGCTAATCATCGAGTTAAGTTCGAGTTTAGGTTTGATTTGATGTTCGAGTTAGAGTAAGAGTTGCAGTTCGAGTTATATTTCGAGTTAGAGTAAGATTTGCTGTTCGAGTTATAGTTCGAGTTAGACTTTGAGTTCGAGTCACATTTCGTTAAATACCTTTCAATGAAGAGCGTAATGTTTACAAAGAGAGTATAATCCTAGTTATGGCGACTTTTAATGAATAAATAGCTGCCATTGGTATTTTTGATCACAGTGTAAACTCTGTTAATGGAAAATAATTTTTCTTATTTAAGATTCGATTTATGGATAACTATTTATATTTCAATTTTAGTTTGTACAACACTGAGAACAGTAACCGATGACACAATCATATTATCAAATTATAGTGTTTCTGAAGGAATCCTGGTGCAGGTTGGATGTCGGGAGTTTGGACAAAGACTTACTACTGGAGCAAAAGTGTTGACATGTTCGAGTAATGCTTGGAGTCCTGCTCAAACGACTTTTAAATGTGAATGTAAGAATGTATATAGCATTAGATAACCATGTTCGTCAGAAATTCGACTTCCAAAGTATATTCAGTCATTCTTGATTTCACTATTCCATCGTTTTTATTTTCATTTTTTTCAAATACCTAGAAATATTACGGACGACCTGATACGATTTGAAGATTTTCAACGTAAAAGGATTTTTTTTCTGTTTATAAAGGTAGTACACATACATTTAATGACTTTCTACAATGTGCGTTTATGACATGACATATTTATTTCTTACGGTAGATTCATTGGTTTTTTGTTTACTTAACGTTCAGTGGCAAATATTTCATGAAAAGATGTCTGGATGGGGTTTACAGAAAAAAGAATTATAAAACAAACAAGTGTGCCTAAATATAAAGAATTAAGAATAGTGGCCTAAAAAGTTAAAGAATTATGATACAGAAATGAAGACCTCATCCCAATCCAAACCATAAGAAACTGAAAATTAAGTACAAACTCGGCGATCTGTTATCAAATTATGTTTTATCAATGATGTTTTTAAACGCAATGTACTAGTATACTCGACTTGTTTTTTCACAAATATTATAATCATTGCAGGGAATGGAGAATTAACTACTTACGAAAAGTTGATAATTGGTCTGTCTTCAGCTGGTGGTGGAGTGTTGTTATTTGGTTTTCTGCTAATATGCTGCTTAGCCCTGAAATACAGACGAGACGGGTAAATACACCAAGTTTATATGTCCGATCGATAAGTGCATGCATTAGATCGTTAATGTAAGATATGAGTCGAGATGGCTATGAAATAATACTAACAATGTGGGTATGGGGATATTAAATGCCAGCCAGCATGCAGTGAGATTTTGTCTAATTGTCAATTTGAACTGATAAAGTGTTGTTGTTTGAGAAAAAAAATCTCGTTGTATTGTTGTATTTTGATTACGAAAAAAACTTTTTTGTAGTTGTATTTGATACTTTTTTAAATACAGCGTGGTGTTGCACTTAATTCGCCGTTTCCGAATCTAAAGGACTATGGGTAATTTCATTGTTTGTACCCTAAAAGGAAAAAAAAAACGTCACACCTTTGGTTAAATTTTCATCGCTTAGGACTTTGTTAGCTAATTTCAACTTTTTGATGTACACTTTTGAAAATATTACACAGCATGCATTAGATTCTGAAATAGCAATTTGGAGAAATGGAGGTATTGGGTGAAGGTACATAAAATTTAAGTCTAAGGCTATGAGAATAATATATATCAGCATTTGATGTAGTTCTTCATTTTCATATACGATTTTACGTCTTTTATGGGGCGGAGGTGGGTTCCATGTTTTTTTCGGCTCATTTTTTTCAATTTTAACAAATTATTTTTGTTACAAGAATTTTTTTATATAAAAAAAAATTAAACATGCAGTGCACAATGATGAACAGTATGTGCCTTTTAGGTTACAATACACCATTAGATTTTATGCATTCTGCATTATACCAAAGGCCAAATAAATTATTTTCCTTAGCCCTAACGGAACTGAGATGTCTTTTAAACGCTAGGATGAGACACGTATTTTTAAGTGCAAAATTGATAGGCATGGGAGATAAGTACAAATTACGCTAAGAAAAGCAACGAGAACCTATATTTTTTGGACCAAAAAATACTGTCCTAATAACTTTTCTTTAATTCTAGCAAGATTTCGTTAAAAAAATCAGCTTTCTAAAGTCTGTATCTCGAAAAAGGCTATCATTGTCGCCTATGGGGAAATTAATTGTTTATTTCAATCTATAAAATGTGTCACGAAGCCTTTGAGCATGCGCTATGTTGCTCTAATAGTAAAAAAGTATTTTGCTATATTCAAATTTTTACAAGCAATATCATTCAACTTATAAGAATGTCTTTAGTCACACCAAAGTCTGATATAACCTCCTTGGTCACACCCATCTACCCTTGATTTGAAATATAAATGCTAGTTGATTCTCCGTTGCATGGGAGATAATTCATTGCAAATTGGTACTGGTGTCAGAGACAGTTAGAGTTATCCTTCTTAAGCCTACTATTTGAATTTTGAACGTAGTGATAGTTTAAGATTTTGTATTCGGGTGTTTTGTTAATACACGTTTCCAGAAAATGTTTTACTACACTAGTTGAGTTAAATATGTATTTAAAAAAAAAAGATATTTAACGCATGTGCTTTGAAAAAAATTATATGAAAAAGGTACAAAAACACATGGAAGTACAATTTTGCCAATCTGATTAAAATACAGATCCTTTGTCCAATCTTTGCTTACAAGGATCTGACAACACTCCGTCTTACTTTTGTTTTAAAGATCTTTCGGAATCCTCTTGTTTTGTCGGATTAATATACTCCTTCCAAAATTTGAAGGATGAAATTTCATAGGCTGGTGTAATAATTACCAGAACAAAAAGTAAACTACTGGGACGGAGTGTTGTCAGATCATTGGAAGCAAAGATTGGAAACAGCCGACTTCCTATATAAAGCAGATACGTTTTCTGGAATTGATATAGTGTAAATTTTATTGGTGAGGGAGAATGCATGTGGTGTTATGTTTTTACTAATACACATTCCAGGCGAGAGAAAGACAGTGACGTTGACAGTTATCCGCCGTCTGCTATCAATGAAAAAGTTGGCTATGCACAGTACGGTAATGGTGGAGGCGGTGGTGGTGGTGGCATTCGTGGCTACAGACCAAGTGGCAATTACGAGAAAAAGATAACATCAGAACCACGTAATGACTTCCGAACGGACCCTCGTTATGATTCATCAAAGCGTGACCCCATTCTATGGTCAGGTCACGGTTCGAATCCTAATCCGTCAAGGTTTGTTTTAAAATTTAGAATGTGTCCGTAGCATGGGAGATAACTCATTAGAAATTAGTATTGTGTCAGAGAATGCTAGAGTTATCTTTCTTAGAGCAATAATATGAATCATGAACATCACGGTAGCTTATACCAAATAACGAAAGAAACGCACCAACCCATTAATTACGCTATTTAAAGTTTTGACTTCTCAAAAAACAAACAAAATTACTAAATTTAAGTAAACTGAAGTCGTTTTGAATTTAGTCACTACAACGAAATTTGTTTTCTGTAAAATTGTGATTGAATATCAAGGTTAGGTTATTCTACAAGTATACCCTGCCACGTCTGGTCTGTGTTAATGTTTGACGTTTTTCTGCTTTGTATCGATCTGATGAGTTAAGCCTTTTTCAACTGATCTTTTATAGTTTGTTCTTATGTTGTGATGTTATACCACTGTCCCAGGTTAGAGGGAGGGTTGAGCGCTCACAAACATGTTTAACCCCACCACATTCTTTATGTGCCTGTCCCAAGTCAGGAGCCTGTAGTTCAGTGGTTGTCGTTGGTTCGTGTGTGTCATATTTGTTTTCGTTAATTTTTTTTTTATAAATTAGGCCGACTATACGGTATGTGTTTTTCTCATTGTTGAAGGCCGTACGGTTGCCTATAATTGCTTACATGCACTTCATTTGAACTTTGGTGGATAGTTGTCTCTTTGGCAGTCAAACCTCATCTCCTTATTTTTATATAGTGTTTTACAAATTTTAGCAGAACAAGATATTATGAAACGGCCATATATGGGAAGAGGTTGTGTTATGCGTGTTTATTTTAAGTATATTTACAGTTTGTATTTTTTGTGTACCTCCTATTCAACAATATCTCCTTACACGGATGGAGTCCAACAACGGATATAAAAGAATATTATACACCGATATTTCATATTTTATTGTAAAATTAGAGAAAGCTGTTTTATCTTTTTTCTTTACGATAAGAATGTCTAAAATGGGAAAAAGGAAACATAGGAACAACTTTAAGACCAACATTTGAATTTTTCGAATTTATTGTCGATAGAACACTGTTTCTATTTTAAAATACCGTCTTTTTTGGAAATTGGGTTTAATCTTTTATGGTAAGACAATCACCCATTTAGGAGGCTAATTTCTGTATTTCATATTCAATGCCGTTTTTTGTATTTTTTTTTTGTCCATGCTTATTCTAATAGAAAAGAAAGCATATGAGGCATCCATCCATGACACAAAATCATTAAATGCACAGCAAAAAACACAAACAGCTCTCTCTTCTTTATTTATTCGCCCATTTTTCTCATGTCTGTAAACCCCCATCTAGACCCCTAGTCATGCTGTTTGTTTACTTTTTTACAGGGAAACAGGACGACCAGAGCCCGCAGACGGATATCAATTTTATTCTGGTAAAAATCCACAAAATCCATCATCCCAATATGATAACAGAGCATTTGAACGGAACGACTACGACAGAAGTTCCGGATATCGAGACACTGGTTACCAGGGTACAAATTACCAACAAGGCAAACGAGAGGATTATAGATGGTAAGGGTATTATGCAGATGCGGGTCCAGGGATTTGAAAAAGGTTGGGTCCCTAAAAAGACAACGTTAGGAGTGGGACTTGTTAAAAACCTATGCAGAAATCATACATGTAATCCCCTAAATCCGCCTCTGTTATCCATTTAAAATCACTGCTTACACAATCTGTCTTCAAGCTAGCAGGTCATTGTTTTTACTCCTAATAGTCCAGCATTGAAATGCTCTTGTGTGTTTCCCTTACTTTAAAATGAAGAACAGTAATATAAGCTCTATCCCTTTTAATGTACATGTAGAGATTATGTGTCATTAATTGATACATCATATGAGGGGGTGACATTCTTTTGTGATGTGGCAGGGGCGGATTCAGGCAGGGGCGTGGCGGGCGTGCACCCCCCTAAAATTTGCAAAGCATGGGTTGTCCTCAGCTTAATAAAGAATATTTCGATAATTTTACCTCAAAAAAGTGTTTGCCTCGCTCCGCTCGGCAAAAATTTAAATTTGCGCCCCCTAACCTAAAATCCTGGATCCGCCCCTGTGTGGGATATTGAGGGTAACAAAGTGGAAATGTTGGATATTGGAGGTAAAAAAGTGGGAATGTGGGATAAAGGGGGTTAATAATATCTTTTATTTTCCATCGTGTGGGGAAGTGTTCATTCGACGGTGAGTTATTGAGTTGTTGGTCTCACACGTGACATATCTGATCGCAATTATACCATAATTGTAAAACATTTATTACCTTTTCAAAAACCAGGTATATTTGGTATTGAAGCTTGGACTTCATTTATTCTGTTGTTAACGGTACCAGACCAGTTTAGGTTTGTTTATATGTTCTTACAAGTTCAGCTTGTATATAGCTAAAATGAATACACTGCGATTAAAAATAGCATGCTTGCTAATTGAGTTACAGACCAGTACGCCTAGATGTAACCACTCGTTAATAACTTAAGATAATACATGGTTCTATCGTCCATATTGACACATTGTATGTTGTTGAAGGCAATATTTTGCCCTTTAGATGTGTTTTTGTTATTTTTGTTGCTGTCTCATTGGCATATCTCAACCCTTTCCGTTATTCATTTGTAATAGGTTTTCTTTAAAGATGTGTTATTTTATTCCTTTTGATCCAGAAAAAAAATAAAGGTCCGTCGGATGTACATTTTAATAATAAATCCATTTACCTGTAAATCCCTCATTTCAAAATTACCTCGAAACTTTATATTTTGAACCGCGTAAATATAAGGTTAAATGTTTACAATTGTCTCATTTTGGAACGTTTTTTTGGAGTTATTTTGTATGAAATATATATAGTTCATTTTGAGCTTCATCCTGAATTTGAATGGAATATTTACCGCTGGAAGTTCAGTAGACAACAACTAAATAGTAAACAGCAATTTGGAATTGGACGATGTTTTAAGAGTTTTGTTTCACTTTTGAGATTTGCTCAATCCCCTGCTCTTTTAAAGTTTCTCCTAAGTCTCTGGTATATACAGTTTCACAAGGATTAGTTTTGACATAATGATCATGATATTTTACTTATTAGGAACTAGTAAAACGGTAAGTACTTATTCAAAAGCCCATTTTTTAAATTACCGACTTTCCCAATTTTAGAATTGTTTTCAAAAGGGAAATAGCTCTTTTGTAGAACAAACTGTTACTCTGTCTATACAATGCAAATGGAACCTGCATCGTGTTCTAAGACCGGACACATATTTATGGTAAAAATGGGATTCTAAAACAGCTTAATTATACAAAAAAAAACTATTTGCATTGACAGGGGTCATAGTTCGTCCTACCTATGCAAAAATATAAAATTGAAAAGAAGTCGGCATGTGAAATGGACTGAAATAATCTTTATATAGAAAACTATTTTAGCTTTATGAGAAAAGGGATATAACTGCGTTTACACGTCAAAATTTTATTCACACGAATGTACTAGTTTTAATACGTTATAATAATCACTTATTGCATTTGGTATCTATTATTGGTCAAGCAAATTAAACTTAAAATTAGCTAATATAAACACAATATAACACAAGTTGTGTGGCTTTTAACTAACTTTATTAATGTTTTTTTTTATTTACAAAATTTGGCTTTGATGGCCAATATCTATACGTGTCTGTAAAAAAATGGGGCACTTTCAATCTTGACATACTGATTTGGCATTTTTCGTCTTAGACTGAATGCCATATATATGTCTTTTGACCTTTCAGTCGATGAGGTCTCGAGGGGGGGGGGGTCACTTTCTATATACAAGGTGATAGGACGTGCCGCTGGAATAGGTCACCAATTCAAGCTTTAAAATATGTGAATAGGTCGGGAAAACTATCAGAAATATATGATAAGGTCAATAAAGTTCCCATAACTTCTTCGTCTGTCATCTTTCTTGGTGTTCCCGGCTGTGTTTTTATCAACTAATTTTCTCTCTTTTTGGCACTTTGGTATTCCACTTTACATTACACACCACATGAAACTCAAACAATATGGGGAAAGGTAACACTTTTACCTACGCGATATATGAAAAGGTGAAAAGGTATACATTACATTTTTAAAATCTAAATTATATGAAAAGGGTGGTAACAGAACCCCCAGCAGCACCCCCTATCAATTAAGTATTGAAGTGCCCCCCCCCCCCCCCCTTTCTTTGGCTGACCGTGCTCTGTGCTTTCTGGGACCAATAGATAAAGTTTCGGATAAGTCTCGGGTGCCATTTAATACAAGTATTTGAAAATAATTGTAGGTTGAGATCTTATTGTATAAAGATTTGCATCAAACTAGGCGTTGTTTTTGATTATGTTTTTTTTTTTGGGTAGGGGAGGAAGGGGGTTTTAGGTGGTATTGGTTGGAGGTTTTGATTATTTGTTGTTCGAATATGAACTATAGTATTTATTTGCATGTATTGAGATGTTTAAGGTTGTATTTATCATTTATAAACCTTCATGGTGATGCCTTTATCTTCTTTCGGTTCTCATGCCTTCATCTTCTTTCGGTTCTCATGCCTTTATCTTCTTTCGTTTCTCATGCCTTTATCTTCTTTCGTTTCTCATGCCTTTATCTTCTTTCGGTTCTCATGCCTTTATCTTCTTTCGTTTCTCATGCCTTTATCTTCTTTCGTTTCTCATGCCTTTATCTTCTTTCGTTTCTCATGCCTTTATCTTCTTTCGTTTCTCATGCCTTTATCTTCTTTCGTTTCTCATGCCTTTATCTTCTTTCGGTTCTCGGAGTCAAATGAGAACTTTATGTGCTGAATATATATGAAAAAACAAAATCATAATGATTGATAACATTTAATCTTTTATACTTTAATGATGTGATTTTTGTTAATAATGATTATAGCTATGAATTCTTGTCAATGGAAGTAGTCCGATTTGATGTATTAGCATAATAATTTTATTGTATTTTATATTTACAGGAATGGACAGTTACCTCGGGCTCATATGGCGCGTGATGATCGATACAACAGACAATACTAGCACGTGACAGCACAACATTCTCCCGCTATATGGCTATCTTCAAAACAAATTTCATCTGAAATGTACAAGCACAACACATGTCATTCATTTAGGCTCACGTGCCAGTAGTTACTTGTGGGTGTGACATGAAAAGAATAGTCACTCAGTTTTGGAGATAGCAATTAAAATAGTGTCTACAAATTTTTCGCAATAAACCATTTGATATTAGGTGCTTGAGACATAACCTTCCGCCCATATCAGGCATGAGTTCCGGCCATCTTTGGAAAGATTGCCGGATAAACTTTGTACATACTCTTTCAAACACAACTGAACCTTCCGCCATATCTGGCCAGATATCCGGGTAATCTTCTGCCATCTTTGGAAAGATTTCCGGATAAACTTTGTACTCCTTTGTATTAGTATGCAAAAAGAAATCTCAAAAGATTTTTATATGCAATTTCTTAATCTACAGAAAATGCTCAAATGAGAACACCGGATACACACTCTTTTAGTAGAAAAAATAAAGCGCTGTAAAAATTAAATACACATTGGGACCAGTTGGCATCCCTTCTAATAACTGACATATAAACTCGAAATGTATTTATGCTAGAGATTTCGTTGAGATCTATTGTTTTAGTCATGTATCCATTGCAGTAACATAATAGCAGCTGGAGGTTTAGGGAATCTTGAAATTTAGAAACATAATTGGCACTTTTTTTACTGTTTTATTTTTTTCTATAGATTTTACGTGGATATTTTATAAAAATACAAGTCTCTTCAACTACCCTTTGAACAAATAGCAAAGGGTTCAACCAAACTTATCGATCTGCAATCAGATTAATGTACTGTCAATGGTATTTTCAAACGTGTTGTAGGTAATTAGAAATTTCTAATAGTATTATACAGGGTACATTCTTATGAGAAGAAAATATCTTTAAAAATAGTATGATATGATATTACTTTTAGTATTATTAAGCTGTTATTTTGATTACTATGTGAATGATGCAATTTTGAGGATATATATGTTTTATAAAGACACATAAAGCTTGGGCAAAATAGTTTAACAGTGTTTTATATCCACATATTTACGCCAAACATCATTTACAACGAATCATTTCATCATCATTAAATATATTCGATATTAAATATGTAAACTGTCCTATATAGAATGTAAAACTAGTTCATACGAAGCTAGAGATATAATTCTGTGTTGATAATTCATTACTAGGTGGGCTGTCTTGTAATTACTGCTAATAATCTCGCTCTGTTAAGCTGGATTAAGCAGTGCCTATCCACATTTAAATTGTCCATAACGTTTTCAAGAAATTATAAAAAAAAATGTAGTTCTTACATTCAACGAAACAGCCAGGGGCGTCGCAGAAGACTGAAAAGTAGGTGGGTGCATGGGGACTTCTAAAAGTGACAAGCAAAAAGAAATTCAACTTTTAAACTGTTGTATAGTGTTAGTCAGCGTCCTATTTTTTTCCTTTTTCAGGACGATGAACCCCTTGTCCAATGGCTCATATGCCAATTGACAGCAAATGATCTTCAATATTTTAAGACAAATTTTTTGATTTAAACATGACTTAAAAATATTATTACTGTCATATTACACGCTAAACATGTGAAAAAAATACATCATGATCTGAAGACATCTCAAGACACTGTCGGTCACTTCATAGGCAACGATCCACACGATATAATGTTTTCTAGTTTTTAAAATATGCTAGTGTTACAATAATATCGTCTTAATTTTTTAAGTTCACTAGAACTGCTTTGATGGATTTCGTTATCAAAATTATGGATACGGAATTATTGAATACCACAGGATTATTTTCTATGCTTGATTCAAACTATGTGTAAAATGTATATCAAACTTGTTATTTACATAGATCTGTGTAATATATTGTTACAGTTAAGTTATATGTGTACATATGTGTCATAATATGAGACCCTTTAAGATTTAAACATATTTTCTTATTAAAGATATTTTACACACACGTAACGTGCTTTTATTTTTATTATACACCTAAACCACCTATCTACTTTATGGCTGTCCAGAATCTAAAAGACTATGGGTAATTTTATTGTTCGTACCCAAAATGAAAATAACGTCACGTCATTGGTTAAATTTCCATTGTTTACGACATTTTTAACCAATCACGAGGTTTTACTGTACACTTTTGAAAATATTACCCAGAATGCATTAACTTCTGAAACGACGAATTGGATCAAACCATCAGTGTAAGTTCTCACAACGAGGTTAAAAATTTGATCAAGGTAATGACATATTCACTTTACACAAATCACATTTACTACAAGATTAAGCTAGGTATTTTGCCTGTGAAAGCTGTTGCAGCATTGCAAAAGTTGACGACCAAACAGTTGTACTAGTAATAAAAACAAATACAGTTGTTATCTTAGCCATGGGAACGATCACCCACCCCGTCGCTTTTTCAAAGAATAAAGTTCCATAACTCCTCAATGTCATATCAGAAATTTATAAAAAAAAAAAGGGAGGTTATTTTAATAGACATAAACAGTCACCAAAGTTTCATGAAAACTGCTCGAAGCGTTTTTGAGTTATTGTCCTAAAACTGGAAGATCCCCCCTTTTTTTAGAATAAAATCCCATAACTCAGAAACGTAAAATCTAAAATTTATAAAAAATCAAAAGGGAGCTCACGTCAATAGATATAAACAATTCACCAAAGTTTCATGAAAACTGCTCAAAGCATTTTTGAGATATTGTCCGAAAACTGGAAAATCCCCCTTTTTAATGAATAAAACCCCATAACTTGGAAACGTAAAGTCTAAAATTCATAAAAATCAAAAGGGAGCTCGCGTCAATAGATATAAACAATTCATTAAAGTTTCATGAAAACTGCTTAAAGCATTTTTTAGTTATTGTCCGAAAACTTGAAAATCCCCCCTTTTTAATGAATAAAACTCCATAACTCGGAAACGTAAAATCCAAAATTTATAAAAAACGAAAGGGAGCTCATGTCAATAGATATAAACAATTCACCAAATTTATGCAAATTAGTTAAAGCGTTTTTGAATTATTGTCCAACATGTTGACGACGGACGGACGGACGGACTGACAACGGTATACCATAATACGTCCCGTAAACGGGCGTATAAAAACGAAAGATGACGAAAAGACGAACAAGTCAAAAAACACTACATAGAAAATCTCGTGTCGCATTTATTTTGTTTAAAGGACCATTTGATATTCTGAGGCTGGTGGGTTTTTACAATTAATATTCTGACCTGGTAAGAACTAAATAATTCCAACTTGCAAAAGACAAGATGAAAAAAATACTAGTATTCTGCTCCACAAAATGCAGGAAATAACTACCATTGGTAAAAATAAGACCCTTTAGCATTTTTTTGCTGTATTCTTCAGCCTTTCATTTATTATATATTTTTCCCGCTCCAAAAATTTGGTTTCAGCGTAGTTGAGAAGGTTTTTCAAGAACCACGTGTCGTGCTCACGGACTTCGTTCACTCGTCTTAACTCGGCCAATATCGTTCATCCATCTAGAAGGAGAGTGGCGGATTTACCCGACGATTGCCGACTGGGACTTTGTGGACATGCTTATATTTTGTTTACGAGTGCAATATTAAAAAACAAAATGAAAATTTACAAAACGTAAAAGGTAACTTCAGGGTGCTTTATATAAATAGAACTGTATAGTTGAATCGTACATTCGTGTGGTTGCAGTTGTAGGTCTTTGAATTTAAATGAAAATTAACAACCGCCAAAAGAGTACACTGGTATAGGACAAAATAGGTCCTACACATAGGCGTAACTTTCAGGGTATAAAATGAAAGCTGAAAAACGTTATATCATTGAAGGATACATTTTGAATGGTTACTTAAAATTGTAAAAACACTGAATGAAATTTAAATAGGAAGGCATAATGTATCCGTTTCTCAGAACGCAGAACTAAAGCAACTTCCGAAGTTCTGGGATTTTGATTTTTTTTCAGCAAAAGCCACAACAAGGCATAACGGACGCAAACTTGCTACCATTATATTTGAACTTAAGTTAAAAAAGCATTGACATAAAAAAGCAATGGGGCTATGATTTATTGGCTTGCCTTCTACTCATATACATGTATATAGTCATATAATTTCTTTTTAACTCAATTAAATATTGCATTGCAGTCACAGTCGTAAAATATAAATCAGGATTTAAAAAATTTTTCAATTTAAGAATTTTAGAATTTAAGAGTTTTTATTTAAAATATTAGGGTCCCGTAATATTAAAAGATCAAAAGTGCAACCTAAAATAACGATGTTTCTTCCGACCTTGACGCACTATAAAGTCTAAATCGGTGATTTAGAAGAAAATTAAGAGTCAGCTACATAGGAAAGATTAAAGATGTTGAATTATTGAAGTAGTTTCGGTGTAAAACAACGACCGGTGCTCTGACGTTGACACAAAATCAATCCTTTACCCTACTATAGCTAGAAAACAAAAGAAAAGCTAAAATCAACCGTTACCATGGCAACAAACCTATTGTAATTATAAAATTGTCCAATATTGGGGAAGATGTGAGATATACAGAAGTCGTCTGCTGATAAATTTTGTTTTACCATTATTAATTCCCAATAGACTAGTGCTATTGGTCGATTTTTTCTATAACATTTCTTTATGTTGTAAGCGGTTTAACACAAATTCTAATATTCTCCTAAAATGTTTATGTCATGGGAATATAGCAAGAATACAAGTCTGAATGACGTTTCTTACTTAAAAGAAAGCTATGTGCGAGGCTCTATAACACCTTGGGCGAAATTACTTTTGTCTTATAGAATTGAAAGAGAGATGGGATAGATAAATCTAAGACAACAATCTTATAAAAAAAAAAACACCAAAGGAGCATCGCTATTGTTGCTGTTTCTAATCTTGCCGTCTTAACTATACTATAGTACTACCACACTACAAAAACCGTTGATTTTTTTCGTTTTAATTGTTTGACTTTTTTCATATCGGGGTCGTTTGAAGTTGACTAAACGGTATAGGTTTTGCTTAATGTTGAAAGTGACCTATATTCGTTTAATCCACGTCATTTGGAATCTGGTGGATAGTTGTCTCATTGCAATCATTACACATATCCTTATTCCTGGTGGATAATTATCTCATTGCAATCATTACACATATCTTTATTCCTGGTGGATAGTTGTCTCATTGCAATCATTACACATATCCTTATTCCTGGTGGATAATTTTCTCATTACACATATCCTTATTCCTGGTGATAGTTGTCTCATTGCAATCATTACACATATCTTTATTCCTGGTAGATAGTTGTCTCATTGCAATCATTACATATATCCTTATTCCTGGTAGATAGTTGTCTCATTGCAATCATTACACATATCTTTATTCCTGGTAGATAGTTGTCTCATTGCAATCATTACACATATCCTTATCTTATATTCATAGATATATACGAATTGATTGAAAGAGTTGCAGAAAGTAATATTAAGGATGTACTTAGGTCAGATGTTCGGAATCCTTGGTTTTTTGCTACGATACAGGGGAAAATATTTTGCCCCATAACACCCATTTTTCTTTTCATATAAGACTTCAATAGCTCATAAAAGGTCATTTACTAAAATTTAAGCAGATTTTAGATTTCTTTTCTTTCGATTTGAGACCCAAATGATACCAATGCAAATATAAGGTAAAATCCCGAGTCAGCCTTTTCCCGCCATTTAAAAAAAAACCCAATTTATTGGTGTTGTTCTTAGCTCACCTTTCCAAAGGAAATGTGAGCTTTTGCCATCACTTGGCGTCCGTCGACGTCCGTCGTCGTCCGTCGTAAACTATTTCAAACATCTTCTCCTCTGCAACTACTGAACCAAATCCAACCAACCTTGAGGTGAATGATCCTTAGGGTATCTAGAATAAACTTCGTGTTTTATTTTCTGTTTCGTCAAAAAACATGGCCGCCATGGCAAAAAATAGAACATAGGGATAAAATGCAGTGTTGGCTTATATCTCAAAAACTAAAGCATTTAGAGCAAATCTTATAGGGGTAAAAATGTTCATTAGGTCAAGTTCTATCAGCCCTGAAATTTTCAGATGAATCTAACAACACATTGTTTTAAAAAAAAATAACTTTAAAAAATCTTCTCCACTGAAACTAAAGAACCAAATTAAACCAAACCTAAGCTGAATGATTCTTAGGTTATCTAGAAAAAGTGTGTGTTTTATTTTCTGTTTCCTCAGAAAACATGGCTGTCATGGCTAAAAATAAAACAGAGGGTAAAATGCAGTTTTTGACTTATATCTAAAAACTAAAGCATTTAGAGCAAATCAGACAAGTAGTTAAAGTATTCATTAGGTCAAGGTCTACCTGCCCTGAAATTATCAGCCAAATTCGGTATCTGATTTTTAGGTTATTGCCCCTGAATTGATGATTTTAAGGAAATTTTGAAGTTTTCGGTTATTATCTTGAATATTATTATAGATAAAGATAAACTGTGACAGCAAAAATGTTCGGCAAAGTAAGATCTACAAATAAGTTTTTTATGACCAAAATTGTCAATTGACCCCTTAAAGGCGTTATTGTCCTTTAAAGACAATTTTTCACAATTTGTTCATCTAGTTTGCTTACTTTAAAAAATCTTCTCCTTTGAAACTGCTGAATCAATTTCAGCCAAACTTGGGCTGAATGAGTTTCAGAGTATCTAGTATAAATTTTGTATTTTTTTCCTTGTACGTCAAGAAACATAGCCACTATGGCTAAAATGGAACATAGGGGTAAAATGCATTTTTTTGGTTTTGAAGAAAATATGACAGATACAAAGAACATTTAAATGGCATTTTTAAGCCACTCATTAATATATATTGAAAAGCAAAAATAATCATTGATGAAAGATTTAAGCAAAAAATTACAGGTGAGCGATTCAGGCTCTTAAGAGCCTCTTGTTTTTGTTGTTCTTGTTGTATGTAAAATTCAGAATCAGGGGTTCGTTTGTCTTCGAATTA